TTTGCGTTTTATATCTGAAGAGGGCTCAATCTTGTAGCCGAAACTTGTTATATTTTTACACATGTTTATACATTTACACATTTATATATGCCGTTCCGTGCGCATGTATCGTCGCATAATAATTTAATCAATTAAATGTTTTGTTTTTCTCTTTGTAATCTACTGACTCTTCTTTCGCCGTGTATTTGTTTGATTATTTACGTTTATTTTTCGATATTTTTCATTATTAAAAAAAATTACTATATAGAATCATATTAATAACTTTTTCTATTATATTTTAATATTTTTCATTAACATTTACAAAATAAAAAAAAACATGAATTTTGTTGAGAACAATGCAAAATTATTTTTAAAAACGTATAATTATTATAAAAACATATACTCATTACAGTTTTTTGCAGATACATAAATTTATTTTAAAGTTATTTTAAAAATAATATTTCCTTTATACGATCAAATAACAAAATAACAATCGATTACTTTTTTACATCAATCAATTTTTTTTTAATAGGTAGATAAATAAATTCTTCAAGTTTTATTGGCGCCGCAAATCTTGACATTTTTCCTCGTCGAAAGAAAAACGTACATCTCACAAATACTACGTAATATTGTGGTTACATAAGTTTTCCTCTTCATTATGCTATTTGCAACTATTCTCGAATAATCACGGATACAGAGATACACGGTGCGTCCTTTATCTCCGCGAGATTTTACGCGATCTGGGGAAACTCCAAGAATTATCAATCCAACGCTTGGATGTTCTCATCTTCCAAATTGAGTCGACAGCAAGAATAAAACACATGCAAATGAGACCGGAAAACAAGCATTTTTCCGAAAACTAGGAAAGTAATGTAAATTAACTTGACCGTGTCAATTTCAATGCTCGCTGAAAATTTTACCGACTTATATTAATCAATTATCTCTGAGAAAATACGTCAGATTTGAGAAAACATGAAGGAAAAATCTGGGAAACATCTCAGAAAAGGACAAAATCACAAAAAATATTTTCGCACATCATAAAGTTTTTATAACAGAAGAGACAAATTAGATAATCGCGAGTTGAAGAGAAACAGAGAGAGAGAAAGAGAGAGAAAGAGAAATTTAGATTTTTTAATTGAATTTAGAATAAAATAGATTGTCACAGGGACACAGAAATTTTATGACATTAGCGCCCATCAATAAAAGAAAAGAGATATAATAACGTAGAAACTATGTATCTTTCAATAAGTCGATTTACAAATCGAAAAAAAGAAAGTATGAGTCAATTGATAAAACCGAAAACTGACATTAGCATTTTTATGCAATCTCGCAAATAATATAATTACCCATGAAGTTAATTCATGTTTTATCATTTCTGCCTGCAGATATTTATTTGAAAAATGAAGAAATAAAAAAACATATATTACACTTAGAGAAAAAGCATACAGCGAATTTAATTGGATGCACTGGCGTATATTATAGTTGGTATACACGATCTAATCTCTGAATACAAAAGTGAAATGCAAATAACTCGAATGATAAAATTTCCATATACATATTTCATAAAACAGCGCAATAATAACAGCACAATATACTTTTTGTGATTTAATATACAGTGGTCTATTTAAATCTAGAATATTCATTTTCATCTAGAATATTTCGCTTATTTTTTATGATACAAAAAAATTTTTCAAACGAAAGTGGAACGGTTTCGAGGGGGACGTATTTTGGTCATGTTTTTTTTTCTAGGCGGAGGCGCCAAAAAGATATGAAGTCACCTCCACTTTTTTAAATGAAATTATGATTTTTTTTTTACACAATATAATTCCTTTAATTATTCTGCATATAAAAGTATTAAGGCAGTAATATCAAAAAACCAATAATTTACGAGATATTTTATACTTTATTCTGGCACATATTGACATAAAATAACGTTAAATAACTCTTAAACTATTAACTTTTTGATAATCGTACCTTAATACTTTTATGAACAAAATAATGAGATGAATCAGTTAGTGTAAAGAAAATATGATTTAAAAAAATATATATATATGCAAAATAGATAATTTTTTAAATAAGCAACTATGTGTTTTCTTTCCATCAGTTGTCATTTTTTGAATTAACGTCATTATTTTTCTCTACATGTAGACAAAATGCAATTTCATAACGGCATTGCATCTGCGAAAGAACGTTATCGATGAATAATCGAAGGTCGCGTGGCAAAATCCCAGGAGTCAAAATACAAAATCGACTTAAGACTTTTGTATGCATTTATCGATAACGAGAAAGGGCGCTATTGACAATAGAGTGAAACGACGTCATATAATATCGTTCTTCCGCTTTTCCCTGACGACGGGCGCCATTGTCCTGGCTAGCTAATAGCGAGTAGAACGAATCTCCCGGCAACTTCGATCGGTGAGAGTAGAGAGGAAAAAAAAGAAGACTAAAAAAAAAGAGACGCCTACGAGGGCGTCGAAGTGGAAAGTATGATTTATACGCATTGATGAAACCCACTTGCTCCGTCCCACCGTCACCGTCACCGCCACTGCTGTCAGAGGAGCGTCATCGAAGCCGCAGCAACATAACCTCTTGTGAAAAAACCGCTACCGCCACCACTACCACCACTACTACCACTACCACCACCACCACCACCACCACTACCACTACCGCCGCTGCCGCCGCCGCAACCACCAGGTCGAAGCAGACGACGTACAACCCCGTCAGAAGCCTTGCCGCTCGTTACCGCCAGGTTGCGCCCGTCAACACGCGAATCGTGTGTATGCGTGCGAGGGAAACTTTTCTTCGGCAATGGAGAACTTTGGAACTTTGGTCTAGCGCCGCGGTTTCACTTCAGTTCTTTTCCCGATACTCGGAACTGCGGGTAGTTAGTTTTGCAGGCACTGCGGAGGTACATGTATACACGCACGTACGTCAGCGAGAGGGGCTCTCGCTTTTTCCATCGCGTTTCGCACGCAACCGTGAAAGCGCAACGCGAATCGATGAACGTCGTCGTTGCTCTCACCCCGCTCTTCCTCAATCTTTCCGACTCTCTCTCTCCCCCCCCCTCTCTCCCAAACCGCGTACACTCTTTGCACTTCTTGTTCGACTCGTCCGTTCGTAGTGCACAATCGTCCTTGTTTTTATGTCGGGCGCATAAATCACGAATACAGAAGGACGCGCGTCATTCACGAGTTGCGACGTCAAGATGAAGGAACTCCACGATTAGTAGCTTGAAAAACGAGTTCCACAACTTGTCGACGATTGAGAGACGACGTCTCGACGATCCCGAACCACACCCAAGGAAGGACGTGGTTTCGAGAGAAGGTCGGCCGGGAGGACGAGTCGTCGGGAAGTGGGAGAGACGACGCTGGCGCCGTATCAACCGACCCGGCGTCAAGAGGACGCAGTCGTCGCTGCCGGCGATGACAGGTTACTGCATAAACCACTGCTGTTGCTGCCTCCTGCCGCACCAGCCAGCAATCCAAATAAAAAAAAAAGTTGCCGGTTTAATCGCCGCAACACGCGTGGCAATGGCAAGTGGAACATACGACGTACGGTTACTGTAACCGCTAAATACTTTTGTTTGATTACACTGCCTAAAATCCATGGCATATACAGAAACAAGTGGTAAGGCAGTAAAATGTCTGGTTTAAGCTCAATCGAATCGGGTAATCATAGTAGAGAATGTAAGGCTGTTGCCCCAAGTTGCACAGAAAATGAATTTTGAAATTCCCAAATTTTTCCAAATTTTCCAGATGACAGTGCCAAGAAATAAAATTTTCCATAATCAGTATCGAATATGTAAATTTTAACATTTAAAAGCAGAGAATGTAAGAAAGCTCTATCCTATATTATTAAAAACAACATACATTTAGAAGCTTAGCAGCATAATGAAATCTTGGATGCAACATTCAGGTCAACACAAATAGAAAATAAAAGAGTATTAGAAAAAAGATTTCAGTTATAACAGAAAAGAATGAGTAAAATACCGAATAAAATATAAATTTCAATTGTTTTGACTACTTCAGTTTTAATTATATCGCAATTTGAAGTAAAAAATATATTTAATAGAATATGTATCTCAGTTATAACAAAGTTTAATTAAAATGAATTAAGTTTTGTATTAAACTGCATGAAGATTAAAACAAAAATTAAAATTTGATATTTTAAGAAATGTCTAATTTCTATATTTAAAAAAAGAATTATAACATTTCTTTTAATATAATGAGACTGACTGATATATGGTCTAATACACAATTGAAATATTGACTAAGAAAATCAATATTTGACTATAAATGTTAATATATTATTTAAAAAATTATAACAATTGTGATTGGAAAAGCATTTTGAGGGAATTAAGCAAAGCTCAAAATTTCAAATTTTCTTATATTTTTCTTAGAATTTTCTAGGTTTTCCATGATCAATTTAAATTTCCACGACTTTTCCAGATTTCCTCCGTTTTCCAGGTCCGTGGCAATCCTGTTTACTGTAATTGATCAATTCAGTCCTGCTTAGTCTTATGTCTGTTTCCATCACTGTAGATTAATTTTAATCTCGATTCGATTACAACTCTTCATCTCTTTTTAATTCTATTGCGTCGTCTACAATATGCGTGTAAGAAGCAAAATAAGAAATTGATCAATCACAGTCGAATGTAAAAAGAAGAGTCGACTGTGATTGGTCAATTTCTTAGGTATACTTTATCAGAAGTCAGAAGATAGAAATTGACCAATCACAGTCGAATGCGAGAAGAATAATTGACTACGATTGGTCAATTTCTTCTAATTTCTGATTCATTACTAATGGCTTATTGTAGAATGTGTATTACTCTTACTCCGCATATTGTAGGCGACTCATTAGAACTAGAAAAAGATAAAAAGTTAATTGAACTTACGAACGAGATTAAAATTAAATCATATTGGTAGAAAAATGTTTTCAGCATTTTCAGCGCTTCTATTCTTGTTTTAGGTCTAATAAACAATAAAGATAGAATTATCATTTACAACGCGGTAAGCATCCAAATCGAACACAGCTAATGGGTGCTTTCCAGTGATAACACAAGACGACACAAGCATCGCACTTGCGTGTCTGTCGACTTATGTTACCAAAAGGAAAGTATCCTATAATGTGTGTTACCTTAAAACCATAAGGTTTGTTCGTGCCACGTGCCTTAACATGCTTCAACATGTTCCTATCATAGCTCATTCCAACGACCATGTTGAAGCATGTTGAAGTATTAGATGCAAACAAATCTACGATCACACTACAGATTACCGGTTGCGGTTGACGGTTCTATTTTAACCAATCATATTGCAGCTAGTTCGTATTCGCTGCATCGTGATTGACTAAAATAGAACATCAACTGGTAGTTTGTAGTGTAGTTATATGATAACTTAAAGATGTTATTGACTCAAGTCCTTGAATGACAAAAAGATTATTTTTACAACAAGAAAAGCATAAAATATATCATTTGGTTTCTTTACAAAACACCTTCGTAATAATTTTAATATACAAATTTCTCGACGATTTAAAAAATTATTCTTAAATTTCATTACCAACGGTTCGTTATTACTGTTATTATGTTTGATGGCATTTACTAAATATTGCACCAATATGCTAAATGAAATACATTTGGTAGGTATAGACCCATTACTAGTCATTTTTTAGTAAACATATAAAGTTTAATACATCTCACTTTCCACATTTTATTATTGTTCGATTCGATTAAACTGTATATTAACAGTCTTCTTTTTTTTATCAAAATTATCCCAAAATTATATCCGCTTAAGAGAATTGGAATCTGCTCTTAACATCTCCGACGAAAACACAGCACACATTGAGCGTGAAATTCAAACTGAGAAAAATATCTGATTGAAAAATAGACAAGCCATTTTTATTATACACAATTTTTATTATATCAATCAGAATTCTGGTATTATCTCAAGTATAGTAGTAGAATTAATAGATTTAACTAGATAATTCTGATTCGTTCACTTTCAAAATTCATTTTCAGAATTCAAATTATTAAATCCAACCAGACATTTTTCTCAGTGACTCCCAATTGCGTGTGCCACAAATTTTATCGGCAGCCATTCTCCAGACTTTCTCCACAAATTTACGTGACAAACACTCGAGCCCGACGGAAGAACTCGTCCATTATCAAATCTTCCCTAGGTCGTCTCCCTTCGATGGACTCCCGGATGCGCGAATGGGAGCAACAGTTGAGTCGCACGGGTCAACGTCCAATGCAACGCGCTCTCGCTCTTTCGCTCTTCGGCCTCTCCGGCTCTTGCGTCTCGGCCCGATCGTACACAACCGCGGGGCTGCCAAGTACATCGAATACTTGGTCGTGCCTTTGGCACCGTCGACTCTTTGGGGCACCGAACCGAAGTAAAAGGGAGAGCGCTAGCCAGTAATCGTATGCGGAGCGACAACAGTTGGTCGACAGACCGGCACGGCGTTCATCGACGTCGCACCTGCCCTCCAATGTTTCTGGTTACTTGGCTAATGGCTTTATGACTTATCATCCTCATGCTCGGTAAGCAAAACATTGTCGAACCCTTGTGCCGTAATTTTCTACCTGATCCGATGCGCGAGCTACGATCTGATATTTAAGGTCGCCCGACTGTCACTTCCGTGATCGCTCATGTGATTGAGCTTCACTTCTGGACTTGGCATCCCGATTTGGTTTTATCGTACGTACAAAGTACGTATTCGTCTTAACGGAGAGAAATTAATAACGGAAAGACCACTGCTCACTTCTCTGAAATTAAATCTTTTAGTTAATAACCGTACAGTTCGTTGGTTTAGACTCACGTTTATAGGCCATAGAAAGCTAATGTCTCACTTTGGCACGGAATCATTATGATGTCTTAAAATATACCGTGACGCAAGTGCATCGATCAATCGATCAATCGATCAAAAACTGCAACTCATTTGTTTTTTTGAACGTGTCTTTTTTTTCGAATATTCGTCTCATAATTGTTTCGTCAAAGTAGCGAAATAGATGACAAATGTGATACACTGTTTGGGTCATCGAATCCTAAGTGGCGAAGATGTGACACATCTCCCGAGACGCGACAAAGAGAAAAGCAGATACAGTGAATGACGTCAAGAGGCTGGCAGTGACGTCAGAAAGTAACCTGGAGTAGCAGACTGCGTAGTGTTGCTGGTCACCCGCTAATTTCTAGATGCCGAGGGAGACGCGGACACGTCCTCGTTTCTATATTAGGATCTAATGCAACAACCAACGGGACGTTCTTTTTTTTTAACGTGTCACCGCGTGGGAGTTGCGCAAGAAAAAGTGGACGATAAAATACATTTGATTTTATTATTAAAAACGTCGCCCGATCGAAGAAAAATGCGCGTCTAAATGCGCATGTGACTCTCGATTAGTCGCATGCGAGGCAACTGGACCGTATAAATTACATTCAATATGCGGCCTGGTGTACAATATTGATCGCAGCAGCATCGACATCAATGAACGGCATTTATATCGCGAACGTGATTCTCTGCTAGAAAATGAAATCGCCGGTGCTACTTTTATGAATGAAAATAGTGCCGCGAGAAGAAAGCCGATCCCAACGGCTTTTGAGACACAAATAGATTCTCACTAAGAAT